GAAGATTTTATATTGGATATTTCTTTCAGCTTTATTCTTGTTCTTATTTAAATTTTTATATTCTGTGTTCGTTTTAAAATATTAATTATCTGATATTCCCTCGGGTTTGGGCTTGGGCCTAATCAACCCGTGTCTCGGATCCGAGGGGTATCACAGTGTCCAACAAGATTTTTCCTTATTTTGCCAAATTCATCACCACCTCCTTGAAGATAAAATATTTCTCAATTGGATGACTGACAATACAATGATATTTGCAGTATTTTGGATTGTTGACACGTCCCATCTCTTAAGGGCGTTTGTATTCAAGGAGTTCTATAACTTTACTTTCGAGTAAACATTCCAAGATACCAGGGACATCAGAATCGGGGAAAGGGTATTCCTTCTTCTCTAACTCCTTTAGCGTAGGACGCAGTCTTTCCCTCTCTTGAAACTGGCGATGCTTTTTATCATCCTTCTTGTCATCTTTAACAGATATCTTGATTGGGGTGGTTAAGATAGCCATGGAATCTTTAGTAGCGGTCTTTGACGACTTATCGCCCTTCTTCCAGTCTTTCTTATCCTTGCGTGATTCTATGGCCACGGGACCTTTGCCATCATGGGATTTCATACTAATCTCCATGTCATGGGCACGCGTAGCCAATTCTTCAAATGTGCAAGGTTTTATACCCTGCAGAATGTAAAGAAGGCCCCAATGCATTCCCTGCATACACATCTCCACAACAGAGATTTTTGTCAATCGGTCCTTGCAATTAAGACTAATTGCTCTCCACCGATTAATGTAGTCGATTACAAGCTCATCCTTCCATTGATTCGTGTTAGTTAACTCTATCATACTAACAGTACGACGAGTGCTATAGAACTTGTTTAAGAATTCTCGTTCCATTTGGTCCTAACTATTAATTGACTCTGACCTTAGGTCGGTGTACCACTCGAACGTGTTTCCTTTAAGGGAGCGAACAAACTGTTTAACTAGTATGTCCCCCTTTGTTCTGGCATTGTTGCAAGTCTCGACAAAATGGGCAATGTGTTGCTTGGGGGTACCTTTTTGGTCAAATTGCTGAATCTTCGGATGTTAGTATCCTACATACATCCTCATACTATCAATCCTCCTTGTATAGGGCTTTGAGTACATGAAAGTGTTCTGTGAGACACCTCCATATTGGGCTCAGATTATATTCGTTATCATATCTTGCAATTGTGCAACAGCTAATGAAGAGACTGAAGAAGCATGACTGGTTTGACTAGTTGCATGTTCTGTCACCGACGTCTGGTTTTGACTAGCCACTTGTTCTGTCACCGGCGTCTGTTTGGGTTCCTCCATGCGAGTACCTTGTGCTGTAGAATTAGGATTCTCCGTCGGCATTGCTGTGGAAGATGTAGGATTCCCAGACAGTGGTGGTGTGAAAGTTGCACGATTCCTAGTTGGCGGTGCTGTGGAAGATGTAGGATGCCCAGATTGTACTGGTGATTCACCGAAGGTCTGAACTTCCAATTTGTTCATCAGCGTAACGATTTGTAAGTCATTCTCTTCAACAGTCTTTGTGGGGTTCTCAATGGCACGAGACATAGTTGCTAGTTGTTCCTCCACCGTGGCAGCTCTAGTTATCATAGCAGCGACCACATCTGAGTATGATAGTCCTTGAGAGTCAACGTTCCTTGAAGTGATTGATTACTCCGAAGTCTGACGTGGTGACTCTAGGGGCGAACCGACACTAGAGTGAGCATCATAAACGAAATGAGGTAAATCTGGTGGCGGAATCTCCTCTAGAACAACGTCAGGGTTCTTGACATGTTGAGTTTTCACGTTCGCCGGCTTTACAGGATTGGTTTTCACCAAGTCTTGCTGATGTTTGGATGAAGCCATCGACTGGGACTTGCTACGTGTCACAGGGCCCGCCAAGGTACTTCCATCACTTGATTTGGCCTTCGTGCCACTTTTCATGGTGGCTTTGGCGTCGACCTTTGTAGTAGCGATACTTTTTGGGCTTTCTTGTCTGTCGAAGTCTTAGGGGGAGCCATAGAATCTAACAGAGACGAAACCTGAGGGTAGGAGAAAGAGATGAGAAGCAAAGGAGGTCCCATCGAGCATGCCAGAAATTTGTACACACGAATTTTGTTCTCTGCAAATAAAGACAAAATATGGGCAAAATAATAATTTATTAATTTATAAATATTTGGAGTACAATCATTTGTAATATCTTTTACAAAAAGAATGGTCCTCTGATTCGATCTCTTTTTTTGTTGTTGGTTGGATCCAAGGGCTGCACAAGCTTGTTCTTGAATCACCGTGGAATTTAATGAAGAACGACACGTTGTTGGATGTGCTTGTTGTTGATCACCGTGAGATTTGATGAAGAACGGCACGTCGTTGGATGTGCTTAATGTTCTTCGCTTTTGGGTTTAGATTTTGAATTTGTGTCTCTAACTTCTGAGTCTCTGGATTTCTGAGTCTCTGGACTTTTGGACTTCTGAATTCTGAATCTCTGGATTTCTGGACTCTGAATTTGTGTCCTTTGTTGAATTTGAGGAAGAACGACACGTCTTTGGATGTGCTTATTATTCTTTGTCTTCAGAAAGGAGAGAATTTGTTGAATTTGGTGAAGAACGGCACGATTTTGAATGTGCTTGGTATTCTTTGCCTTTAGGTTTGCCCTCGGGATTTCTGGCCCTCTAGATTTCTGATTCTCTCAATTTTTAGACCTTCTGGATTTTTGAGTCTCTGGATTTCTGGATTCTGAATTTTTGTCCCCTGTCTTCTTCCTCTAGGCCTCTATTTATCGGCTTCTTGTATTAATAGGATGATGATATGTGTCATCTCCTGATAAGGAAAAAATCATATTTGGGCCAGGCCGGTTATATTATAATAATTATCCTTAAAAATAATTAATCCAAATATATTTTATTAGGAATAATTATCTTTTCATTTAATCATCTGGGCTGAGTTAATTAAATAATTTAAGTGGACCAAACCTAGACCAATTAAATAATTTAATTAAACATTAGGCCCATATTTAATGGGTCCATTTGTTAAAACCAAAGGCCACTAAATTTTAGTGTCTACAGTACTCTTTGCTTGTTTGAAATACTTTAATTGTTTTGATATCTCTTGATTTTATGCGCGGATTTAATCAACTCGTATTTCGAAATTAGGGAATATAACAAGTGGTCCAATGTTTTGATATTTTAAAACAAATACTATCATATATTCTAAAACAAATACTATATATAAATGTATTGGAAAATTAATTATACAACGTGATCTCGTGGGTAGACTGCTTGTCTCTAATTTGGGTAGGTTTCACTGTTGGCCTTCACATTTTTCATTTTATTTTGATAAAAAAAAAGAAGTTTGGGAGCTAAACACGATCGAATCAGTACTGTAACGATTTTCTGTGTACATACATCATACTTTGCATATCATCTGTATCCAAAATTTTCAAAATGTGTCTATATAATTAAATGATATCTACATATACATAAATTTCATCAACTTTTCTCCAAATAACGTGATCATTGGTAAGTATTTTGAAGATGGTATGATTGGTATCATATTTCAAAATTAATATATATATACAACAGTTATACCATATAAATTAGAGAATTTTACTATTGTGATTTTTAAAACATTTTTAAACACCACTCTAAAAATAGACGCAAATTGTTAAAAATAGAAACCGTGTTGAAAATCCCAACACAACACATGGGCTATCATTACGTGTTCTTTTTAACATAGTATTAAATCTGACTAAAACAAATAAATATAAATTGTTAAAAATAGAAATCGTGTTGAAAATTCTGCAACACCACATAAATATAAGGGGTCTTTAGCTTCACAACACGCTGAATGCGATAGCAGGTCCCACTAATTTATGTGGTTCCATGATCACCAACAAATAAATATAAATTGTTAAAAATAGAAATCGTGTTGAAAATTCTGCAACACCACATAAATATAAGGGGTCTTTAGCTTCACAACACGCTGAATGCGATAGCAGGTCCCACTAATTTATGTGGTTCCATGATCACCAGATAGAGAATAAAACTGTTAGATGCAAATTTTAGACGGTAGAAAAAAACATGATAGTGGGCTGATGGGGCCATTTATAATAAAAGCCTGATATCCTCAAAATTTAAGAGGTTTTAAACGAAGTTTCAAATGTGAGACCTTTTATAAAATTTTAAAAGCGCAAAAAATTTAATAGGAGTGAGGAATTTTTTTTTTAAAAAATCAATTATCAATTTTGTTACTCTTAGTAAAGTTTGTCTTTAAGACTTGTACTTCTTAAAATAATTATATTCCTTTAATATCAGAAATCACGTCATATTTTAGTATAACTTACAAAATTATTTTTAAAAATGTGAGTTAATTAAACTGAGCAGTTAAATATTTGATTGTTTGTGAGTTAATTAAATTATTTTTGAAGCCTCGTACACATGAATCCAAAAATAATATAATAATAGAATAAACATGTTTCTGAGTTTAAAAATAAAAAGATATAATTTATCATCTTTAATACGGCGCCCCCGGAAACAAATTCCTTACTCCGCCCCTGATCTACATCATCTTCATTATTGATGTGAACTAATAATAAATAAACATGTCATCTTTAATTATCAAATTCAATATGGTGGGGTAGATACCCACTTATCAAATCAGAGTTGGTAATCAAATCACCATCTCTGATTTGGTAATTAAAATAAAATGTGTCAATTTATTATTGGTCCACATCAACGATCAATATGGTATTGGACCTAAGTATTATTCGCCTTGTACGCGAAAGAGTGTAAAATGATTCCCTATTATAATGCAACACAATTATATTACAAAATGTAAAACTCATGTAACAATGATGTAATATGTTTAAATCAAAGATATAATATTCATATAACATATTAAATCGTGTTACAACATTATAATTCTATTAAATCGAGAGTTTAACAGAAATATAAAAGTTTAGTAAGAAAGTATAACAAATTAACATGCATCGGTAACACATGAATGATCGAGTAGTCAAAAACCTAATACAATAAACAAAGCATAGGTTATACTTTCACAATAGTCTAAAGGAATTGTGCGCGCCAAGAACTTTTTGTTAGGTTATTTCTACTCTGAACTGTGAGAATTTAACATATTTACATGGTTATTTTCACAATATTCCATATGGAAAATAACTAGATCCAAAAATTATTAAAAAAAATCAGTATGGCCTTTTGAGATACTTGAATAAAATTGATGAATCCAAGTCCAACCTTTCTTTGTAGCGAGTGAAGAGTTTCAATAACTCATTAGCCCTTTCCTTTGTTCTCTCGTCACAACCCACCTGTAAAACAACCAACAGCTTCTCAAAAACACCCAATTCATGAACCGCCTCATCAACCACAACACCTCCATTTTCATCCTTGCAAAGCTTCCAAAGAGCCGAAACTGAAAACTCCGTCGCTGTCATCGATACTCCTAAAATCTTCTCCACTAACGCTGGCATAGTTGATTCATGGTTTCGAGCCAAATATTCTCTCCCTTCACCACAATCACACATACAGTCTAAAACACCAAGAGCTTTCTCACATATGCCTTTCTCGTAATTTAGAACAATTTCTAATATCAATGAAACCAAACCCATCTCCATAAACCTTCTTGTCATCTCTTCACTCATCGCCGACGGTGAAATCATGTGGTAAATAGCCATTAGAGAAGCATTGGTAGCTCTAGGGCAAATGGGTACCCTAATTATCTTCACTAATGCTTCTGCAACACATTCCATCTCCGCAAACGCGTTAACATATCCCTGATCCAATGCAAGTAGCTCTGCTAGGGCTAAAACCGTGACTCGCCTACCGGAAACATCTTCCCCTCTCAAAAACCATGCCATGCAACGTAAAGAAGTGGACGAAGCTAGCTTAGATTGGGCTTCTACACCAAGCGGGAACATCCATGTCAATCTTCACAAGATCTCAATTAACAAACAAGCATGTTTCTCTACTGAAACACTAGCATATGATTCAAAAGAGGATGATAATACATACTCCTCCGAGACCTCGTACTGCGTTATCGATGCTTTCTCGATCATATGTGATTCCGGTGGATAAGGTGACAGGATCTTTCATCAGTTCAAGAGAGATTGGGCACTGAAAATTGGGAGGAATTGGGATCTCCATATAGGAATTGCTAGGGGAGAGCTTTTCTGGTATTCTCTAACAAAATATTGTTGAAGTGGCTCAAATTTAGTGTATCGGGTGTGGTTTAGTCAATTTTATTTTGTTTTTTTTTTGTATGTTAGGTTTAGTCAAAAGTTGAATCTGCGTTAAATGTGTCATTGCATAAATGAAGAAAGAGTAGATGTTAAGAAAACGACGTAATGAGAAAGTAAATAACTGAATACGTAAATGGTACATGTATATGGTGGTCCAATGAATGAAGAAAGAAAACCGTTATTTATTTATTGTTTTTTATAATTTTTTATCTTACAAAAAAATTTAGAGAGATTTTATTTTTACGAACAACTTGAACTACTGTTGTGATATTTTAAAAGACTGCCTTGTTACCATTGTTATTGCATTGAATAGTGGTTGCGCATAAAGGCGGTGAAAACTCAATGTGTGTATGGATTGAAGAATGTTTGAAAAAAATCAGAGTGTGAAGAGAATAAAGAGGGCAGAAAAGAGATATGACGTCGAGTAAGAGTAAAGCTCATGGTTTTCTATTTATAGTATGCAATATATGGTTATTAAGTCTATGTTTTACCATTTATGGTAATTTTTCCTGGGTCATGAGTCAAAGTCTGGAAAAGATTAGGGGAACACATGTCTTTTATGGTTATTGTCCAGACAAGGACTCTAGGTCTAGGGCGGTGAATAGGTCTTCTAACAATTCATTCTTGACCAATCAATCATATATTCCAAGCAGTTGCCGAACGCACACAATCACAAAATCAAGGCCACCATTGGGTCAATAAATTTATCATTTTAATATATATATATATATTTTTCATAAATTTCAAACAAATAACAAGGGAAACGGCATTATAATATAGAAAATACCAAAGAAAAATATATTGTTGTCTTGAGAATGAAACACAAGAAGCTAAACTCACCAGAGTACACACACAAAGAAGAGAATGTAGAAACATATAACAATGGAACTTTTCATTTGAACCAAAAAGAAAATGTTTAGCATAACATAGAAATACCACAGAAAAGACGAGGCGAAGCAAAAAAAACTATTTAGTTTGCTGAATTATTTTGTGTTATTAGTGGTTGTTTAGTATTAGTGTGGTTTAGCTTTTTTAATAATATTTTCTCTATTTAAGCATGTAATTAGAAGTTTATTAGGACAATGAGATTTGATTTCAGTATTATACTTCTCTCTCCACAATTCGTTCTTGATTAATGTTTCGTCAGTGAGAGCAGGAACCAGAAATCTTGATTAATGTTCAAACACAATCAGTGAGAGCAGGAGCCAGAATTTTTTTTCAGTTTTTTTAATAATATTTTCTCAATTTAAGCATGTAATTAGAAATTTATTAGGACAATGAGATTTGATTTCAATATTATACTGTTCTCTCTACAATTTTGTGTTTACCTCTTCCGAACTTATATTTGGAAGAGACGTATTTCTTTTGAGTGCCTCTGTATTTTGTAATAGTGTGGCATCAGAGCGAGGTTTGTAGTAGAGAGGAGAGTGAAAATAGCAAACGTTAATGGTAGCGTTAATCCATCTCAACTAACTACCCAGTATCATGAAGATGAGGACGCTGTTTATTTCCCAGACTTGTGGGATTTGTTGGACAAAGGCTAATTAAGCTTAATGATTACTGAGTAATGCTCTTAGATTAGCACTATGAAATGCTACTAAAATTAATTATATTTCCATAACTCAATCCACATACTTTGCCAAAAGATGAATCTATTTACTGGTCACGCTTTTTCTATTTGTATATGTATAGAAGTAAGTTTGTTGAGTCCATGTTTTATCTCTTTGGGCAATGTATAAAAATTTCCAAGAGCTTTCTCACAAATCCCTTTCTTGGCATTTTCAACAACTTCCAATAGATTTCAACGCCTAGAATTCAATTTGCGTGTCTACTTCGTAATAGAAAAAGTTGTTACTTACCTACTGATTCCATTGAGCTACATTTTTGGCCAAATGGTTTCAATTGCTACTTAGCCTACTGATTAAGTCTTAATTCCATTGAGATACATTCACGGCCAAATATTAATTCAAAAAAAAATTTCAATTTGCTTTCAAACATTTTGATGTTTTGCTTTAGTCCGTTCTCTCTTGCCAATTAATTAAAAAAATAAAATTGCAACAAAAAAGAAAAATATGATATTTCACGGTAGTGGTTTGTGAAGTTAATGTTAGGGAGTAGAAAGAGAGATGTATATATATCTATATATATTTTAAATGTAAATTTTAATTTTATAGATATAATAATAACAAGGGTTAATTACACTCACAACCCCCTTAGGTTTAATAAAGTTAGCAAAGACACTCCAAATGTGATAAATTGACAGTATTACCCTTTCACTTGTTAATTAACCTATTCAGATGAAGAAATTACCCTTTTAAAACTTACTATTAATTTTATGGGACCAAACTATCCTTCTAAATAGTCAAATTACCCTCATCCTTCCCTCCTTCTCTCTTGCATCATCGCCTCTTCTGCAACCCATATCCGACGCCGCCTCCACTACCCCGTCACACCCAATTCCCTAACCTCCGCCCGCTAACTCAAGCCTCCCATCATCATCTTCAAGGTTGAATAGATACTCCACGGTGGTGGTGATGAGTAGTGGTGGTCATGGTTGGGAGTGGTGGTAGGAGGTTGAGCAATCCAACGACGTCAATGGAATATAATAGGAGCAGGGCCTATCAATCAGTATATAAAATATCTAAAGGGAATGAAAATTTAAAGTCTAAAAAACTAAAAGGAAATTTAGACATTTTCCAACTAAACAACTCAGACAAATAGATTTAGTTGAGCAGGACTTGTCGACGGTGATGGCATGGGTCGAGGCAAAACTTCAGAGGACTGGATGATGGGGATGACCTAATCGCATATGCCATATGTGATACCCCTCGATTCTAGAGCCACGAGTGATCAAGTCTGAGCACAGATCCGAGGGATACCAGACAATTAATATTTAAATGAACACGGAATACAAAATGAATTAATAAATAAACAAATAAAAGTTAAAGAATTCTAAAATATAATCCTTAAGATTAAATAATTGAAATCCAGCAAACAAAAGCTCCAATATTTGATACAACTCGGGAATCCACCTAGTGGACCCCTAACCAAAACCCAACTGAAAAGTAAACAACTTAAATAAAATCTACAGCTAAATCATGAAGAAAATCCTACGTCGTCAGAAGAGTGAGTGACTGCTTAGCACGAACAAGCTCTACGACTAGAACCGTCCAATACATGAAAACATAATAGTAGGTCAGGCTCACGAACAAGTTTTATTCTAACTACAATCTAAACAGAGACCCGATATGCAGATACATCTTAGATATCTCACCAATAGCTATATCGTCCATACATATATATATCCACACTAAGGGACTCTCACTGGATTACAAATGGAGTCACAACCTGAATAGAAAACTACATGCAAAACGCACTAGAGGTGGGCAGGAGTACCTAGACCTAACAGGGTACACCTCTACCATCATATCAAACTATGCATCCCAATGCATATACGCTCCCTAACCAACGATTCTGAGACTCAAGCTCATATCGTAGTACCATAAATATATATTTAAAACCCATCCAAAACCAGAATATGTCATTCAATTGTTCATTGATCTGACATAAGTAACAACTAATCCAGTTAGTCACTTAACATATTCTGTTGACCTGACTTAAATACAACTAATAAATAATCCCGTTAGTCACCCAACTTACTCTGTTGATTTGACTTAAATATAAGTAGGATTTAATTTTTATAATCCATTCCCTTATTTTAAAGTAGGTAGGACTTAGCGTTTTGAGCTAAACCATCCCTAGTATGCCACCGTCCCTTACCGGTGCATACAATCCATAACATCCATATAATTAATAGAACATAATTTAACGATTAATCAATTAATATCCAGAATAATATCCATGTAATTGATATTTAAATAATTAGATTTAAACTTCAATTAATCCACAAGACAATCCAATAATTGACAAAGTAGTAATCAATAGAGCGTCAACTAAAATCCAGGGAATGATATAATATAAATCAGATAACCAACTGAGCATATTATATTCAATTATAGTTAAGTATAATCATACACAATCAATTAACTTGCTAGAACAACAACAAGTAAATAAATAGTCCACATCCACTGACAGCATGCAAATAATTAATTAAATTCCATGATGTCTAGTAATATTAGCATATTAGCATATCCTAACTATTTTAGAGTTTTAACAAGTTAATTTAAAACATTTAAAACCTCCCGTTAATTTTTAGAATTCACAATTTAGCCCCTGGAATCAAAAAATATCAAACGTACACCCCGTAGGGGTGTTCCAGCAAGAGAGCCAGCTCCCCTTTCATGGTAGCCGACTCTCCTACTCATGGAGCCGGCTCTCCCTCATGGAAAGCCAGCTTTCCCACTTAGGGAGCCGGCTCTCTCTCACATCGAGAGCTGTTTCCTCCTCTATTTTGTCTTCTTCGCCTCCGACAACATTACAGAACCTTCTGTGATGTTTAATACAGTTCCTAGGGTTCATCATGTCCCAAAATTCCTCATAAAGCATCTAAACTCTAGTATGCATCATTAATAGAAACTTAGAACACATATGATTAAACAATTGATGCGAAGAAACAGATTGAATTTACAGTACCTACACAGTTTAATTCTGATTTAATAAGCATACAAGATTTATTTAATGTCCGATTAAAATCGTAGACATCATCTAGGCATGCACAGAACACAGGTCAAGGGAAGAGAGTAAGAATAAAACTTGCCTTGAAGATTTCCGTATTGAAACCTTAACTTCATCTTCCTAAGTTTTTCCGACGACGTCCGTTTACTGTCAACCTCCTACTGCCCTGGTTTAAAACCACAAGCAATACTTTCCCTCCTCCTTGGTCCGTCTTTTAATCTACAGCCGAAACTCCAATTCTCCCTTTCTGTTTTCCTCTCAAACCTCTCTGTATAACTCATCGCCTCACTGTTACGTGATTAGGGTTCTAAAACCCTTAGCAAACTTATACTAGTGTATTTATAGGCCTCCATAAAACCCCAAGTCCAATTATAATCAGAGACGGAAAATCCTACTAAATACTAGTCGGCCAACACGTGATTTCATAAAAGAATAAAAACCCAAATTTAACATTATACATTTAATTCATATTTAAACTAAGTC